ATCGCTCATCAAACCACTGGAAAGAAATACTTTAATGTACCAAGAACATTAATTCATTAATTGAGCCCTTACTTTGGTCTCATACACACGCACATGCCCAGCCTACAGCAAATGTAATAAAGCCCAATACGAATGTAACATTTTATCCCTTAAAAAAATTCAACACTGCAGTAATGCATTTTCATACCTAGCAATTTCTTCCAGGATTTGATGAGCGATTTCGCCAAGGTCTGCACCTCTTCCTCTGTACTTTGCTTTCTCACTGCGTTCACTGACATACCAATTCTGGTGGACTAAAATGATAACTTAATTCAGTCTTGTTCCTTTTCTAGGTCGAGCAGCCACCTGACGGCTTTCCGCAAGGCGAGCGGTTTACCTGCAGCGTTTCTAAAGACATTTTCATGTTTTTCAATTCCTTCAGCAAGTCTATGGCACCATCCTGAAAGATAGAGATATTAAATGAAAAGCAACTTGGCAATCCAATTTCTTAAGGGCACAACATCATAAAGGAACAGATTAAAAGGGAAAAAAATTGTAGCACTGAAATGCTAAATTCCAGTATAGAGGCAGGCTGCCTATCCATTACACGTCACTTACATGCCAGCATTCACAAGGATGCACTATGGGTAATTTGAAGATGGCCATTAACCTAACCTCAAGCCTCCAGGATGCGAATGGACTCCAGAGTTTCCTAGTGACCAGGACTGAACTGGCCATATGGCATACAAAGCATGTTCCCAGTGGGCCTACAGGTGTGTGGGGCTGCAAAATATGTGGTGGGGGCCCCCACTGTCCAGGGTCGATTTTTAATCCTAGTCCAGCCTTGCCAGTAACATGAAAGAACATGCAAACTCTACACACACACAGAGGAGAGACAGGAATCGAGCCCACAACCCTGCGGTTGTTTGGTGTTGTAGAACACACCATTAAGGGTGCGATGCATTTTGTGAGTGAAAGCAGCAAAGAATGTTTACTACATTAAAGAACTTCATCACCACACAGAGAGGTCAGTAACACTGAACACCAGGGCAGCAAATATACAAAACGGTACTAAAATCATAGACCGACTGCGGACGCATAATGATACATTTTCACAAGCAAATGAAAGGTAATCCTTCAAGGCACTATTTTACAATTCACTGAAATATTTCTATGGATGATGTAAGCAGTTCAGGCAAAAATACTTCTAATCCCTCACTTGCACTTCAAGAAGTTTGAGGATATGCGTCCTCTATTAGAAGATAGAGATTTTAAGGAATATTGCTCGACCGCACGACGTTTAGAATGGTTACTGCATCCATCGACTAACAGTTGTGTCGAGGCAATTTCAGGATGTCCTCAACATGTATAAATGTGGCTTAGAGAGAAACGTTGTTTCACTGACACGGTAAGATGCATCCGGAATAGGACTGGTTAAGTCGGCCCAATGATCAGCTGTTAATTATACCGATAGGAGGCGTGTTAAATTGCGGTTTGTGGGGCGGCTGACAATTCAGCTGTTCTTAAGAGGATTGAAGCAATTAAAAATAATCCTACATGCTAATAAATATCCAACAAAAATCATACTTTAATAAAATGAGATTATAGCTTAATAGTTCTCCTCCGTACCTCCGAAAAACATAAATAAAAGGCTGAACTGCAGTGCGCAATTTCCTCATTATGGTTTTAGGCATTCTAGTGTTAAATCCCAAAGAAATAAATGACCACCGAAACATATTTCTGTGGTATTGCAAATAAATTACTGATTTGGAGCATCACCAGCTGCCAACTCATCAGTAAGCTGAACTATGGGCTATACTAAGCTTAGGGAGGGGGAACCCAAACAGGTTGTAAATCATATGTTTATAGTACACGTGACATACATCATCAACTGCCAATTTACACGGTGAATCATTAAGGCGACAATTTAACTTCGATCGCTACTAATATTTATAAATTTCGGTTTAGTCAAAGCATATATAAAACAATTTAACGCTCCCGGCTAAAGGTAGCAAAACGGTCATCAGGCAAAATTTAGAACTGTTGTCCTTGTCTAACATCTAATAATCCTCTGCAGAGAAACTCATTTCCTTATATTTTTAGCTAACGACATTTCCATAAGGACATAACCGTGAAGTTACAATACCCAGCGCATGCATCCATGGCTTCCATTTAGGTCAGTATACAGATGGAGGTTTTAAAGCGAATATCAGTCACCAGTGTTAGCAGATGATGATCTATTCGATAGTTAAAAGAAAAAAAGTGCGAGTCCTTTTCCAGGGAAACTTCATTGTCGGGGTGTTATTTATATGTGGGCTACTATAGCGTTCGAGGCGAAACCGGAGTAAAAACCAATGATAATCTTCAACATTAACTGTTCAAACCGATGACTTCATTACGGAAGCTATACTAAGGCACTGTATCTTTAATGCGCATTATTTTGTTCTTGTCACCATTCCGACTTGGTGAAAGCGTGAAAAACAGCACCACAATAGGTTTTCTAGAAATGTCCAGCAAAACAGAGGTGTGCAGGGCATCCAGCCGAACACCGTCGCTAAAGGTGGCTCTGTGAGACGATTTGCATGCTACTCACCGTATTCTTCTTTTGCACCATCTTATCTAGCTTTTTAGCGATGCGCTCCACTTCTTGGTCCTTCGCCATTTTTTTTTTTACCGTTTACGTTTCTTCGCAGCCGTTTTGCCGAACGCTACACTAACACCTCCATCTGTCTTTAAAGGTAATCGTTCCCTAAACCTCCTTTGCAGCCCAGCCGAATGCAGCGCTGCCGCAGTGACGCGCTCGTTTGACAGAGTTTCCCAAAAAGCAGAAGGGGACCATTGGATTTGTAGTCCGCGGGTCGCACAGGCCCGGGCTGTTTCTCACGGTGCGGTGACTGGGCCTTTTCACACATTACATCCCGCTGCAACAATCAAACGCTGACGGCGCCGTAAATTCCCGGTGTGACTGGGCAAAGCTGGAAGGTAAAAGAGAACAAGAATATCACAGCCGTAAAGCAAGAAGTATATTTCGGGTTTTTTTTGTTTTGTTTTGTTTTTTGGTCTTTAGAAACTACATGTGTTTTTCAGTCCTTGCACCTATATAAAAACAAAAAATGACTGAGGTACAACTATACAATATGGTAATATATATACATGTATAATCAAACGGCTGAATAATAATTTGAAAAACAATTTATCATAAAAGTGTACAAAATTATAAACTTATGTTAGTAGTATATGCAACAATAGGGAGATCTGGTTCTCCAGATAATTGGATATTATGTGATTCACCTAGATATTAATATATAATGAAGATAAATATATGCAGTACTATACAAAAGTCTTAAGCAGTCAAAGAAAATTATGATTAAATGATCTTCATGTTTGCATAAAACTTCAATTATGCCTGTAAAAGTCTGCCAGCTTACGGCATTTCAAAACCTCTCCTAAAGTCACACTAGTATTTGTGGCAACTGTCTCATACACCCATGTATTTTCTGACTTGACCACTAGCAGACCTCACATGGCTAATCAATACCTCTGACTTTAAAATACTATTTTAGTTAATTAAGTTAGCCAGTGGTGACATTTAACAAATACAAAGCAATGCTTGGGGTGCCCCTATGGAGAGGTTTGGGAACTGAACTGTTCTTCTAGCCATCCAAGAAAATATCAGTAGCTTTTTGAAATCCCCCAGGGAGGTGTTCATGATGCATCCTAGATAGATTCTTTTGATTTCATGATCTCATTCTTTCAGTCACTACCCAAAGCCCATGACCATAACTAAGGGTAGGAACGTAGATCGGCCGGTAAATCAATAGCTTTGCCTTCCAACTCCGCTCTCTCTTCACCACAACAAACTAGTACAACATCCACATAACTGATGACGCTGCACCGATCTGACTGTCGATCACCTGCGCCATTCTTCCCTCACTTGTGAACAAGACCTCAAGATGCATGAACTCCTCTGCTTCAAGAAACAACATATCCCTAATCTGTAGGTGACAATCCAACCTTTTCCATTTGAGGACCATGGCCTCAGACTTGAAGGTGCTGATCCTCATCCCATTCACATTTGGCTGCAAACAATTTCACTGCATGCAGAAATTCACAGCTTGATGAAGCCAACAGAGTCACATCATTTGAAAAAAGCAAAGATATGATCCTCAGGTCACTGCACCAGACACCCTCCACCCCTTCGCTACACCTAGAAGTTCTGTCTATAAAAGTTATGAACAGAATTAGTGACAAAGGGCAGCCCAACACTCACTCACTATGTTTACATGCATAGCTAAGTCGAGCTACGGTAATAGCTTTACTAAGCCATTTAATCGGACTACTGTCCTTGTCCCAGGGTACATGCACGGGAGGGGAATCGAATTATTGACCAAAGTATGTTTGACTCCATTACAATAGGTAGCGATATGGCTCCTTTCAGCTTGTTAGTACTGGGCCTTTACCAGTCGACCTATTACATCACAGACGTAAAAAATAATAAAATTAATGATAATAGGTGCATGGACAAATGAAGTGACACGAGCTTTAATTATGATCTGATTGGAAGAACAACAAGATCAGGATAGCATAACAAGAAATGAAGTATTTTGTATAATATACTATGACAGCACAGTATTGGAAATTTTTCAAATATTGCAATGGGATTTTGTTGTAATAAATATTGGGGTATTTATGAAACAAAAAAGGAGTTCAAAATAAATTACTCACGAACCTCTATAGAAGTGATTTGAACAACAAGGATGAAAATGATTATGATTGTCTCGTAGAACGCATACAGCACTCATGCAAACGCAGCAGAGGTAAACTTTAAACTGATTTTTAAACATTTACTAGATAATCTTGAAGAGGAATAATCATTAAAATTGAAAAACTTGCTAGGTTTTTTACCTATGACAGAGTAAAAACATTTTAGCAAGACATTAACTCCCCGTGCTATAATATCTGTACCAAACTGAAGGTAAGAAAAAGCCTGATTTTAATCTAGCTGACTAGCGATGTAAGAATTGGATGTGCATAACATGTGATGTTGGTATTAATATCGCACATCGTCCAGCCCTTTAATATACTACAGCAATTTTTAAAATTCAGTACAAAATACCCCGCCTCGCGTTGTGATGTCATTCGGCACTGGTACCAGCTTTTATGCCAGTGGAAATTTCACCAATACTTTGAAATTCCATACTTTTGGTACCTTCCTGAAGTACCGAAAGGATGGTACTTGATGCGGTGGAAAAGTGCCCTTTAGTTGAGTGGTGAATTGGACAGCTTTACAGCGCTGTACATCTCATACATGCTGTACATCTTCTGCTATGCTCCATGCTTCTTCTGTATACCGGCTTCTTCTGTTACTTCCAGGTCAAATCCCAGGGGGGAATCTGTGGAGCATGTCGAGCGCCTAGGCCAGTTTGAGTCCAATCTAACGTATACATGCAGGAGTAAATCGACTCCCAATCTCATTATCTGAGTATCTTAGTCTGATTTCGAGAAATTCGATCTAGTGTGATTTCAGTCAGACTAACGTTTTCATGTACTTTAAAAGTCTGGTTTATATTGGACTAACACGATAATTCGATTTTCTTAGTGTGCATGTAAATGTACTGACAGTGAACAAGTCTGGCTTACTGCCTGGAATGCAAACTAAACTCTCAATCTGGTTATATAGGGACCTAATGGTCCATAACAATGGACCTTGCACCCCATATTCTTGAAGAACCATGGATAGAACCCCCAAATGAACATGGTCATATGTCAAAAGTCCAAAAAACATATGTAGGCTGGTTGGGTAAACTCTCATGAACTATCTAGTATCCTTGGGAGGGTAAAGAGCTGGTCCAGTATACCGTGACCAGAATCCGCATTCTGGATCTGAGACTCGACCAAATGATGGAATCTCTTCTCCAGTACCCAGGCATAGACCTTCCCAGGGAGGCTGAGGAGTGTGATCCCCCTGAAGTTGGAACTCATCCTCTAGTTCCCTTTCTTAAAGATTGGGAGCACCACCCGAGTCAATTGTGACAGTGCCAATCCGAAAGACAACAAACAGATTGAAGAATCGCGGACCCCTGTTTGAGCCCCTCAGGCTGTCCAGAGCAAAGCAAAACCACAAGAAAATAACATACCATAACAGCTGAGCTCATAATGATATGCATTTGGAAGATTTAATCTAAAAACGGCCTCAGACTATCTTCACAAATGGGGAACAGGGCTTTTGGCCTGCCCTAGGTAATTGTAGGGCCTTGGGCCCCCCAAACCCATAGATTACACTAACCAGTGTACTAAGCCCTGGGTCTCTAACAACTAGCACTGCACAGTTAGTGGAGGATTTCATCCAAAAATGGATGCTGATAATCTTCATAAATGGGGGACAGATGAGGGGAATGCTTTGCATGTTTTCGTAATCTCAATTTGTAACAGCTCTCTGTAATCGACTATGGTCACTATCTGCTTCTTTTGTAATCTTTATATCATACTCTATGTACTGTGTGATTTATATGTTCATGATATGTTGTATCTTCTAATAAAAAATGTTAATCACAAAAAAATAAATGGGAGACACGGCTTGAGCTCACCTCTAAGTAATTGAAAGGGCCTTTGGGTCCCAAAAACCACAATTTGTCAAAGCCAATGTGGTACCTCAAACAGCCCTGGACCTTATTAAATAGCTAGCACTGCCATAGATATGGGATGACTACATCTAAAAATGGTCCCGGACTGATTTCACAAGGTGTGGGGCATCACTTGGGAAGAGGCATGTCAGCCAAGACAGCCAAATAACATCAAGAACCTTGAACAGCTCAACAGCACTCCACCTCTGCTGTAAACATTATGGATAACGCCCTGTTTCCCCCTCCTGAGTCACCTGATGGATTCCCAGAATCTCTTTTAGACAGACCAATAGTCACAGTTTTTGCTTCTGCAACTGCCAAAGCCAAAACTGCTTCAGGAGTCCCACCAGACAACCAAGCTTGGAAGGTCTCCTTCTTCAGCGTGATGACTCCCTTTGCTGCTGATGTCCACCATCAGGTTTATGGATTGTCACCACAACAGGCACCAACATCATTATGGCCACAGCTCTGTATAACCACCTCAATTATGGAAGCACAGAACATTGCCCAATCAGGCTCAATGTCCCCAGTCTTCCTTTGAATGCAAGAGAAGTTCTACTGTAGGTGTGAGTTGAAGATCTCCTGGACAGGGGACTCTGCCAGATGCTCCCAGCACACCCTCACTATACAGTATGTTTGAGTCTACTGGGTCTGTTCAGCATCAGGTGCAGACCACCAGCTCGAGATCAGGGTGCTGTGGTGCCAGGTGCACTTATGAACACCCTTATGCTCAAACATGGTGTTTGTTATAGACAAACTATGGTCAACACAGAAGTCCCATAACAGAGTACTGCTCATTTTCAGATCGGGCTGGCCGTTTCTCCCTATCACACCCTACTATCACTGTCGTTACTCACATGAGTATTAAAATCCCCCAGTAGAACAATGATGTTCCTAGAGGAGGCGCATTCCAGCACCCCATCCGAGGTCTCCAAGAAGGCCAGATACTCTGAGCTCGTGTTCAGTGCATATGCACAGACAGCAGTCAGAGCCCGTCCCCTGACTAAGAGTTGAGGGGAGGTGACCCTCTAATTCACCATGTTGAACTCCAATGCAGTGGCGCCAAACCGGGGGGCCATGAGTAAGCCCACACCTGCCCAGTGCCTCTCACCCAGGGCAACTCCAGACTGGAATAGAGCCAAGCACTTCTCCAGGAGTTTAGTTCCAGAGACTGACCTGTGCATTGAGGTGAGCCTGACTATATGAAGTTGGTATCTCTCTAACTCCCGCACCAGCTCAGGCTCCTTTCACACCACAGAGATTACATTCCATGTCCCTAAATGCAGTTTTGGTAGCCAATGACAGGTCCACCAAGGCCCCTACCTTTTC